ACTGTGTGGGGTTCATCCTTCCCTCGTAGGGCTCGACCCCGGTGATTTTGAAACCACGGGGCCATTGGAGTGTTCGGAGTGCCCTCGTGAATGCTGGCGGCCCTTCGGGGTTGTCGGCGCCGTGATTTGCAGCGTTGCCGACGTTGAGCGGCTCGAGAGCTGATTCTGAGTTACCATACTCTTGTTCGTACTCTTGACGACAGCGTACTTCTTCATGGCGGCTCGAGAGCTGATTCCGAGTTACCATACTCTTGCTCCCACCCTCTGCTTCGAGAAGCTCCTCCACCATGTCCTTCTTCTCCCTCTTCTCCTCATCCTCCCCATTTTTACTGGCGCCACTGGTTTCCGCCTTCTCGTCCATCCTCTTCCTTATCACCTCCCGAAGAGCTCCGGCCACCTTCTTCCTCGCCTGAATCGAACAAAAAATGCATCTTTATATCAATTTCTCGAATGCAATGTTGCATATATACTAGTAGGGGAGAAAAAATGGGGAGAAGAAGAAAGGCAGACAGGTTTGAGCACCTTGAGGGCCTGGCCGTAGGCGGTGAAAGGGTTAGGCGAAGGGGAAGGGGATGGAGAAGAAGCCATCGATGAGCTTGACGTACTCGCGGCGGACGCTCTCGGTCCATGGGCTGGGCTCGATGCTGACGAGCTGCCAGACGGTTAGGTTGAAGGTGATCTTCTTGGCCTCGTCGAGCAGCGCGGGTGGTGGCGGCGCGGGCGCGGGCGGTGGCGCGTGCGTGTGTGCGGGGTGTGTGGGCCGGCTAGGCGGCGGGGTTAAATCCCCCTTGCTGCCTGCTTGCTGCCTCCGATCTGGCACTCAGCAAAGGGTTTTTTTAATTTTTTTAACCGTCTCTTTGCCGAGTGTCACCTGTCTAGCACTCGGCAAACAAGGTTTTTTTAAAAAAAGAAATCTTTGCTGAGTGTCTCAGATCTGTCACTCGACAAAAGATTTTTTTTAAAAAAAATACTTTGCCGAGTGCCCCTGACACGGCACTCGGCAAAGATTCAATATTTTTTTTTGAAATGTCTTTGTCAAGTGCCCCTGCGAAGGCACTCGGCAAAGAGAAAATTTCTAAAAAAAATCAAAAATCCTCTTTGCCGAGTGCCCCTGTGAAGGCACTCAGCAAAGACCCCCTTTGCTCGTGCCATGCCCCGATACTTGACAAAGTTTTCTTTTTTGTCTTTGACCTCTAAATTTTTTATGCAGCCCTTTTAAAGTAACAGGAACTCCTCGTTAGAATTTGGGGATTTTCTGTGGCTTTTTGATATATTTAGTTACTTTATTTCGTTTACTTGAATTTTTTCGAAAAATATAAATTTGAACTGCACGTGGTACGGATAATAAAATTTAATGATTTAAAAAATAATAGTCATGTTACTGAATGTAGTGTGAGGCCGTATACAGAAACGGACTCGAAATTTCAGACATCTTATTCACGAAACATGATCATGAACTTGCGTACGAAGTATTTTTAAATTCTATAAAAAACAAACGAAGTCTGAAAATCATGAAACGATGTTGGGGTTTTTAAAAAGCAAACGAAGTCCGAAAATCATGACACCGAGTGTAGTGTTTTTAAATTCTATAAAAAGCAAACTTGTCCGAAAATTGTCGCGTACCATGCTTACAAACGTGCGCAGCCTTACGACGTTGGGGTGGCGCACGCGCCCGATGGCGCCCGCCTCCGCGGCGAACTCCCGATACCGCTGGGGCGCCACGGCGCCACCGCCGAGCCGGCGCACGGCCACGGGCGTCGTGCCGTTGTCCACCACCACCTTGTACACGATCCCCTTACCGCCCTTGCCCAGCACGTGCGCCGACGACCTCAGCAGCTCGTCCAGCTCCATCCTGAACCCCTTTTGGATCGCCACCAGTTCACCGGCCTCCCCCCGGTTCCTCCTGTTCCTCCGCCACCATTGCACTTCCCGTCGTGCTCGGAGCACTCCGAGGACGAGTCGCCGCACGCGTCGGCACGAATGCAGCACGGGTAAGGGAACAGGCCGCGCCCATCCTCGTCGTACTCATCGTCGTCGCCTTTGTCTTTGGCGGCCCGGCGTCGGTCCCAGACCTTCAACTTCAAGTACATGTAGACCGCGATGACACCGACTAACGCGATGGCCACCGCGTCGGCCACCGAGATGAGCACGATGAGGCTGGTCTTGATCGGCTGCCGTGCACCGCCCGCGCCGCCGTTGGAAGCGGCGGCAGAGGACAACGGGAGGCGGTGGGGACGAAGACGACGACAGAGGAGCGGCGCGGCAGGGGACCTGCAGCGGGAAGCCGCATAGCCCCGGGTTGTTGAGGAACGCGGTGGGGCCCTGGCTGGCGAGGGAGCCGGACTGCGGGATCTCGCCGGAGAGGTTGTTGAAGCGGAGGTCGAGCGTGAGCCCGTGACGGTGGTCGGGAGGCGACCGAGCTCGAGGGGCACCCCGCCGGAAAGGTGGTTGTGGGAGAGGTTAAGCGTGACGGCGAGCGCGAAGAGCTTGCCGAGGTCTTTCGGTATCACGCCGGTGAGGTTGTTGGACGATAGGTCCAGCATCTGCAGGCCCACCATCTCCTGCCAGACAGCCGCCGGTATTCTCGGCGAGAAGTAGCCGCTCCAGCTGCTTGCAGCGCCCAAGCTCCGGCGGCAGCGCGCTCGTCAAGGCGTTCCGCGACAGGTCGAGGTTCTGCAGCTTTGGTATCCCGCACAGCGCGGCCGGGAACGGCCCAGTGAGTCGGTTATCGTAGAGGAAGAGGGAGCGCAGGGCGGTGGCGTTGGCGAGCGCGGCGGGGACGGTTCCCGACAGGCGGTTCCCGTGGAGGTTGAGCCGGCGTAGGAACGCGAGCGACCCAAGCTCGGAGGGGATGTAGCCGGATAGGTTCTTGCCGGCGACGGCCACCCCGACGACGCGCAGTCCGTCGCTGGACGAGGTGTTGACGCAGGTGACGCCCAGCCAGCGGCGCCGGACCACGACAAGAGAGCCGAGGACGGATCGTCGGTCACCGCCGACTTGAAGGCCAGCAACGAAAGCCCGTCCGCCGACAGTGCCGCCGCCACCGCCGGCGCCGGACCACGACAAGAGAGCCGAGGACGGATCGTCGGTCACCGCCGACTTGAAGGCCAGCAACGAAAGCCCGTCCGCCGACAGTGCCGCCGCCACCGCCGGCGCCGTGAGCAGGAGTAGGATCCCGAGCGAGTGTAGCACACCCATTTAATTGCGTTGGATATGGATATGCCTGGTCTCTGCAATTGGTTCCCTGCTCTGCCCGAGCTGTGCCAGGTAACTGAAGTGGGAAGGTGCGATAATAATCGTGTCACTATGGATATGCAGGCAGAGTGACAGAGTGTGAGGTAGGGGAAGAAGCATATTTAAGGGTCCGAGTCGCATTGACAACTCATGTCGGGTGATTAATTAAGCAAAAAAAAAACAAATGTTGCTCACACACGCACCACTGTGCATCTACCACTGCATGCCGCTACCTGCAACTCCATGAATATGATTGCTTTCTTTCCTTCTTCCTTTCTTCCACTGACACGAGGGCCCATCACGTGGCACAATTGGAGAGGGGTTGGTGGCAATAGCATTGGCAAACAGAGCTAGTGTGCCAGCGACGGGTGCTGACGGAAGTGGCAGCAATGGCACTGCTACTAGATAGTTACCCTTTCGTTTTCCAGAAAGAACTCATGGGCGGGGTAGTGAAAGTAGTTATGGTTGGTGGGGCCACGGAACGTAGTTGGTTACGCAGGGTTGCATGCGTGACAAGGAACTTGGAAACGGCAGGCGAGGGAGGAAGGAATGCCACAGCCGGGGAGAGGCAGCCGAAGGAAGGTGGCGTTTGGATAAAGTGATACAGGGGATAGAATAGGGATAGGGAAATGGACGAACGGTCAAGATTAAATGAGGTGTAAAGAATGGATGATTAGAATAAAATATTACTCTTTTGAGGATGGGATATCCCTATCCCTTTTCCTATCCTGGTCTGAATCCAAACGCCAGTGAAAGGGAAAAGGGGGAGTGCATGCGGTGGAGGGGAGTAGAAGGGACTCAAAGCTGCCGAGGTGGAGCATGAGCTGGGTTCGTGCGAGTGCGCTCAACTGCTCGAGAAGGTGGCGGAATGATGACAGGGCGCCGGGGAGCGGGCCCACTGTGCCGCGGCCAAGGAGGGGACGAGACTCAAAATTACTCTAAGTGCTTTGGTTCGTGCGGGTGAATTAGCATCGCCGACTGCACACCTGCTAGCGCCCAGCGGCCACCGATCAGTCTTGCTATAGGATCGCCATCCACCGGCCACCGAGCGTCGCCGTGTTTTAAGGTTGATTCCGATTGGGGGCCGGGCGGCCTTCGACTGACCTGCCGCTCAGAATTGAGATGCTCCTCCCAGAATTTTTCACGTGGTTTTGTTTTACCCGAGCAACGTTGGGCGGCGCCGATGCTATTAAAAACTCCTTCAAACCCAATGGAAAAATAAGGAGAAAGTGATACAACATATAATGATTATTGCCTCATTGTAAACTCCTATGAGAAAACCTTTGCAGGAGAAAACTCATACATAGTTTAGAGGACAATATATGTTATTGATATCTCCTTAAAAACCCTGATGGGGAAAACAAGAAACATGACATATACTTATGCTAATATTGCCTCATTAAAAACTTCATATGAGAAACCTTGAGAGTAAAACACATATGAAGAAAAGAGTGCAATATGATGGTTTGGACAGGGCAACATCTAGGAGATTTCTCCCCTTGAATCTTGCAAATCTCGAAGTCGTCGCATACCGGCGTGGCCGTTCGGGAGGGATCGAGCGGAGGCCCTGTGCGGAACTCGGAGCCAAGTCGGACGGAGGTCGGGACAACGGTTGGCGGCCTCGCTGGCGTGGACGCGACGCCGGATTGGCGCAACCGGCAGAGGTGGAGGAGGCGGAGCGGTGAGCTCCGGGTTGGTGATGATGCGGCAGGACGGGGCGGAGCGGCGGGCCGCGATTGACGGTGGAGAGTGGCTCCGTCTCCTCCTCAAGCCTGCCACAGTGAGGGACGGAGTCGGCCGTGGAGGCGCTGGCTCAATGTCCATCGCCATGGGGCCGGCCCAGTTAGAAGGACCGGCGGCATCCGGGGCTGGTGGGGCAGGAGGAGCTCGAAGCGGGCAGGGGCCGGGGCCGTGGCCGTGCTCGTCGCGGTACGGTGGCAACCATGGCGGACATGGTCCCAACACGTGCTTGGGGCAGACGGGTCCCGGCGGTGGCGTAGGGGCCACTGGAGCATCGACGGCGCGACGACGACCACCATGACCGCCAACTCGCATCCGAAGTCCCCGACCCCTTCCCCTTCCCCGGCGTTTACCGGCCTGGCGTTCGCCAAGTAGGTAGCGGAAGGTGTCCAGGAGTTCGGTGCGGATGTAGTGGTGGTTGAATGGAATCCCCATGTCGATGGCACAGTGGAGAATCAAGAAGACGAGGTCGACGACAAGGATCGCCGGAGGTACGTAGCGTAGTGGGGGCATGGTACCTTTGGATCTTCTTCGCGAACTCGATCTCGCCGACCTTCTCGCCGGCCTTCTCCTTCTGGACTCCCTCTCGAGAGCACAGACTGCAAGCGTAGCGTGCTGATAACGTGTAAAACTTGGAATGTAAATGGAACACAGTTGAAGGGACCGTGATGCCTAAGAGGGGGGTGTGAATTAGGCAACTTAAAAATCTAACTCTAAACTATGGCCTCTTTTTCTACCCTTAGCAAAACCTATGCAAAAGATAAACTATCTAAATGTGCAACTACGGTTTTGCTAATGTGTTGCTATCTCTACCGCAAAGGAGTAATGAAATCAATGTAAATGCGGAAGCTAAAGAGCAAGGTAGAGATATGCAAACTCCCGTCGATGACTCCGGTATTTTTACCGAGGTATCGAGAAGCGCGCAAGCTTCCCCCTAGTCCTCGTTGGAGCCCCTCACAAGGAATCCCTCGCAAGGGCCAAGCTCCCGGTTGGGTAACTCCGTGGATAGCCTCGGGCCTTCCCCACGCGCAAGTGGGTCTCTGACGTGCCTTCCGGCAAGCCTCTCCCAGAAGCTCCCCGCCGTCTTCACTATCAAGCTTCTGGCCAAAACGCCGCGGGCCTTGTTCCCTCCGGTACACGGTGGCGGCCACACCACAAACGCGGTTGTTGTGATCTCGCAAGACTTCAAGCCCCTCCGATGTACAACAACGGTGCTCACAAGCACCGAGTGGTAAGAGGTATGCAAACCTCACTAAACACTAGGCCTAAACCTAGAGCAAGCGCATAAGTGGTGGTCTAATCAACCTAAGCACTTCGCAAAAGCACCTACACTAATCACCTGATGAATCACTAAGCACTATGCAAGTGGAGATCACTAAAATGGTGTATCAACACCCTTGATATGTTTCCTCAGCTCCACACGCCTCAAATAGCCGGTTGGGGGTTGTATTTATAAGCCCCACTGAGAAAGTAGCCGTTGGGGTCGAACTCCCGCAATTCTGCTACTGACCGGACACTGAATCGTCCTGACCGGACGCGTCCGGTCGTCCCGACCGTTGAATCGGCAAAACACTGAGCGGACGCTGTCCAGCGTCCGGTCGCAGATATGCCGCTCTAGAACCTTACTGTACTCGATCGGACGCTGCGTTCCTACGTCCGGTCGGTTGCCGCCAGCGTCCGGTCCTCGCGTCCGATCGCCTGTCTGCCGAGTCTCCACCCAGCATACGGTCGCAGCGTCCGGTCGCTTGTCCAGCGTCCGGTCCAGCGTTCGGTCACTACAGTGAGCTCGTTTCTTCATGATCTTGCATACGGCTTAGTTCCAATCTTCATGCTTGGACTTTACTTGATCTCTTGGGTCTTCTCTTGTGCTCCTAAGGTCTTGCTTTAAGGTGTTGATCATTGGATCATCACGTCGCCTTCGTCCAAGTCACGTCTTGCACCCTATTAGACTACAAAACAAACACTTGCAAATTCATTAGTCCAATTTGGTTGTGTTGGTCATCAAACACCAAAATCCAAAGTAAATGGGCCAAGGGTCCATTTTCCTTATAATCTCCCCCTTTTTGGTGATTGATGACAACACGACCAAAGCAAGCAAATAATAAGAATGTGAAATTTAAAAACTATCTACTTGCTAAGATGCAATGCAAAGGGCAAGGTTATATGATACTAAAAAGATACCAATTGATACCAATTGAAGATACAACTTGTAGGACCAATTGAAAAACTTAAAACTATCTACTTGCTAAGATGCAATGCAAAGGGCAAGGTTATATGATACTAAAAAGATACCAATTGATACCAATTGAAGATACAACTTGTAGGACCAATTGAAAAACTATTTAATGCTTATCTTGTCCTTGCAAATGTCCCCATGTGGTATTATGGATTTAAGTCATGTTCTTTATTAATTCTCCCCATTACTTAGACTAATCCATAACCCACTATCCTCCCTTTCTTGGACCATTACCATTTATAGACACCAAATTAATGCTTGCCTTTGGTCCTTCAAATTCTCCCCCTTTGGCATCAAACACCGAAAAGGAAGACATTAGTAGCACAAGGGAGGGTCAAACTTTGTGATCCTTTGTATGTAGAATTGAATAGATCACAAACTTTGACTCTTATATTATATAGACTAAGCTCCCCCTAAATATATGCATACATATGATGGAAGGCAAAGCATATGCGTAATTGGCAAATTGTTGCACGAAGGAGTTTAATCTATATAATGCATGGAGAAAGCATATAAATATCTAAATGAAGTCAACATTATGATACAAAATGAAGAATGATGCTTATCTCCGGGGACTCCATTTTCCTTGCAATGAGACTAATACATGATAAGCTTGAAAAGTGGTTAGTCTCAAAGCATCTATCTTGTAGATGATCCTCCCCCTAAATTTGTGCATGCAAGCATGGAATACTTATAGTACTCATGCATATTTGATTTTGGAATCAAAATACCACTTGAAAGATGATATTTGGGAGAAATTATCTACAATTTGGACTTTGGCACATATTAAATGAATAATTGTAAGACAAGCTATGTGCCTTGCTCCTAAACAATTTTGAACCATGTAGGTTTGCTCCAAGGGTTAAAAAATGAAACCGAGCAATCTTACCATAAGATATACCTATTGTATGCATGACAACAGATTTACGAATGCAAATGCAAACATAGGCATTAGAAGTAACTAGATGCTTAAAAAGATACCAATTGAAAAATAATATCAATTGTAAGCAATACTATTTGAAGAAAGTACTAATTGAAAGCAATAACATCTAGTTACCTAACATGGGAAGGGGAATTTGGGTCCATAGTATTCACTAACCCACTTGGCAATAACTTTGTTCATCATGATGCACCCCATGAAATGCACCCATACTTTACCAAGTCTTCAAATTCCCCGAAGTCCATTGGACTTCTTACTTCCCTTTCGGGATCCAAACCTTTTTTGTGCTCTTCATGTTGGAAATGATCTCCTTTGGCACCCAAAAGCGTTTGACCCCATTGTTGGCTTGCTTGTTCACCATGATGGCCACCACCTTGTCATTTTTCTTTTTCTTCAAGAGATAAGGTGTGGAGGCCTTCTTGTCCACCTTGTTGGTGTAGGTGTTGGAGAACTTGCTTGTTTGCTTTTGCTCCTTCTTCTTTGCTCCTCCCCCATTCTTCACCTTGCACTCATAGGACTTGTGGCCTTCCTTGTGGCACACGTAGCAAACCACGGTTTGTCCTTCATTAAGCTTCTTCACTCCATTGGCGGTGTTATCTTGATGAAGTTGTGTTTGCTTCGCCTTTCCTTTTACTTGAGTCAAGTCCCTGGTGAGGCGAGCTACTTCTTGCTTGAGTTGCTCATTTTCCTTTGCAACTTCTTGTGTGCATGTATCTACAATAACTTTCTCAACACAAACTTGGTTGCACAAAGGTGAGTCTAAACATAAATCATTGCAAGAAGTAGAGACATCCTTTTTAATGATAGAACTTTTCTTTTTAGATGCCTTAGGGGTATTTTTGATGGCTTCAAGATTAGCAACTTTATTAGTTAGCTCATCACAATGTTTGCACATGATTTCCAATTTAGCAAGCAAACTTTGATAATCATTTTGTGAGCTAGCTAACTTTTCTCTTAATTTTTCATTTTTCTTTTCAAGTTGCTTATCATTGATTGTGCATTCATTTGTTGTTGCACTAGCCTCAAGTTGCTCAATTTTAGTAGATAGTTCAACATTGAGATTTGCAAAGTTCTCATATTGTTCAAGCAAATTTTTGTATGCTTCTTGTGAACTACCTAGCTCTTCTTTCAAATTTTTGAGCTTCTTTTGTTGACTAGTGCAAACTTTAGCATATTTAAGATTTTGTTGCACAATTTCATCATAAGAAGGCATATCATCATTACTATCACTCTCACTAGAGGATGAGCTTTCGTTACCTCGTGCCATAAGGCACACACGAGAAGAGCTTGATGATGAGTGCTTGCGGCCTCGCCTCTTGTGATGGTGTTCTTCTTCACTTGAAGAATCATCCCATGATCTTATTGAGATGAGGGCTTGGTTTTTGCATGCCTTCTTTTTTGTCTTGGGTGTGGGCTTGTTTGGATAAACTTCCACAAAGTGCCCCAACTCGCCACATCCAAGCATCCTCTCTTTCTTTGCTCATTTCTTTGATTTGTGAAAATGAGATCTTAAATTTGGATGGGCACACCCTTGACATTGAGCCTTTGGATCATCTTCTCCATCTTGTTGATTAATTTGATTGATTCTTCATCAAGGTCGGAGGTGGAGGAGGAAGATTGATCATCACTTGAATCTTCATCATCATCATCATCATCCTCATCTTCTTCTTCATCTTCACTTGAGGAGCTTGAGCTTGAGCTTGTCTCAACTTGCTTGCCCTTCATCTTCTTTTTCTCGCTACAAGCGAGAGCTTTGCCTTTGCTTGATGAAGATGCTTCTCCTTAACCCATCTTACGTGACATTTCAAATGCCACTAGCTTGCCAATGACAATGCCTGGGGTCATGGTGCTCAAGTTCTCCATATTGTGAAGGATGGTGATGATGCTTGCATATTTCTTTTGTGGTAGCACGGAGATGATCTTCCTCACGATGTCCGCATCATCTAGCTTTAATAATCCTATTGAATGGAGCTCATTGATAATTAGATTCAATCGAGAATACATATCACGAACAAGCTCACCATCATTCATAGCAAAGGAATCATAATTTTACTTAGCTAGATAATGTTTTTGCTCACGGACATTACTTGTGCCGTCATGGAGCTCTTGGAGTTTTAACCAAATTTCATGTGCCGTATTTAAAGTAAATACTTGGTTAAACACATCCATGCTAAATGATTCAAACAAGCAATTCTTAGCTCTAGCATTGAAATGCATTTCTTTTTCATCACTCTTTGTGGGTTTTTTGGAATTCTTGATGGTTTTCATTCCGTCACGAGTGACTCTCCATACACCCAAATCTACCGCCTCAAGGTAGCAAGCCATTCTAGCTTTATAATAGGGGAAGTTAATGCCGTCAAAGTATGGAGGCCTAGAGGTATCCATCCCAACCACTCTAAGTACCGTCGGCTCAACGGCGGTTAAGCCAAAGGTCCAAATTTGAGCCAACCGGCTCTGATACCAATTGAAGGGACCGTGACGCCTAAGAGGGGGAGGGGTGAATTAGGCAACTTAAAAATCTAACTCTAAACTATGGCCTCTTTTTCTACCCTTAGCAAAACCTATGCAAAAGATAAACTATCTAAATGTGCAACTACGGTTTTGCTAATGTGTTGCTATCTCTACCGCAAAGGAGTAATGAAATCAATGTAAATGCGGAAGCTAAAGAACAAGGTAGAGATATGCAAACTCCCGTCGACGACTCCGGTATTTTTACCGAGGTATCGAGAAGCGCGCAAGCTTCCCCCTAGTCCTCGTTGGAGCCCCTCGCAAGGAATCCCTCGCAAGGGCCAAGCTCCCGGTCGAGTAACTCCGTGGATAGCCTCGGGCCTTCCCCATGCGCAAGTGGGTCTCCGACGTGCCTTCCGGCAAGCCTCTCCCAGAAGCTCCCCGCCGTCTTCACTATCAAGCTTCTGGCCAAAACGCCGCGGGCCTTGTTCCCTCCGGTACACGGTGGCGGCCACACCACAAACGCGGTTGGTGTGATCTCGCAAGACTTCAAGCCCCTCCGATGTACAACAATGGTGCTCGCAAGCACCGAGTGGTAAGAGGTATGCAAACCTCACTAAACACTAGGCCTAAACCTAGAGCAAGCGCATAAACAGTGGTCTAATCAACCTAAGCACTTCGCAAAGCACCTACGCTAATCACCTGATGAATCACTAAGCACTATGCAAGTGGAGATCACTAAAATGGTGTATCAACACCCTTGATATGTTTCCTCAGCTCCACACGCCTCAAATAGCCGGTTGGGGGTTGTATTTATAAGCCCCACTGAGAAAGTAGCCGTTGGGGTCGAACTCCCGCAATTCTGCTCCTGACCGGACGCTGAATCGTCCTGACCGGACGCGTCCGGTCGTCCCGACCGTTGAACCAGCAAAACACTGATTGGACGCTGTCCAGCGTCCGGTCGCCTGCCACCGGACGCGTCCGGTCGCAGATATGCCGCTCTAGAACCTTACTGTACTCGATCGGACGCTGCGTTCCTGCGTCCGGTCGGTTGCCGCCAGCGTCCGGTCCTCGTGTCCGGTCGCCTGTCTGCCGAGTCTCCACCCAGCATACGGTCGCAGCGTCCGGTCCAGCGTCCGGTCACCACAGTGAGCTCGTTTCTTCATGATCTTGCATACGGCTTGGTTCCAATCTTCATGCTTGGACTTTACTTGATCTCTTGGGTCTTCTCTTGTGCTCCTAAGGTCTTGCTTTAAGGTGTTGATCATCGGATCATCACGTCGCCTTCGTCCAAGTCATGTCTTGCACCCTATTGGACTACAAAACATACACTTGCAAATTCATTAGTCCAATTTGGATGGGTTGGTCATCAAACACCAAAATCCAAAGTAAATGAGCCAATGGTCCATTTTCCTTACAACAGTAAATGGCAAGTGAACCAGTAGATTTCATTGATATGTGGTGTACATATTTATACACCCGTACAGACGCCATGGGGAGATGCGCGCAGGCAACCGCCCATGGCGCCGACGGTTCGAACGACAGAGGGAGAGGGGAGCGTAAGCAGTTCCCATCATGGGAACGTTCCCAGATGAGAGCAACTCCATCGTAGTTTTAACACCATCTGCTTGTTTCTCGGTAGTTAGTTTTTTTGGAGAACCAGATCCAGCGAACAGCACGGAGTCGATGGACACGTGTCAAGCGATTACGTGGTGTCTCATGCGAGCCACCGTGCGACGGTGTTGCATAAAATTTTCTTCCTAGTATAAGGCCCCGTTTTACATGACTCCATCTCTTTGATACTGTACAATTTCTTTACAAACTTGTCAAAGCCATCATTGTGAGTGCGGTTGCTTTCGTCTGACAAATTCTTCACGGGATTGATCTGGCTACTCATGCACAACTACCTACCTTATCTGGGACTCCAACTATCATATGAAAATTGAGAACTGACACATCATCATTCGAACCACCGTAAAGAGTAAACTGACAGCAACTCAAGTGCAAAGAGCCAGCAACGCGTCTCATCAGGAGGCACAAAGCAAAAGTTAAGCAGTGGCACATCAATTGCCTTACCTGAAAAAGTCCATGGAGAAGGAGCAATGGAAGAGATCATCACCTTCGACAGATTGCCACGTAAGCTACAAAATGATAGGCATTCCGAAAAAAAATTACACATCACAGGCGCCAGTGCGCCACAATTTCAAAAAATCGAGGAAACCATGTAAAAGTGACCAACACCAACATGCCCACACTCCACAAATATTCTACACAATTAACATTTTTGATCGACCAGTGACATTTCATGCATATATTGTTGAGCAAACACACTATGGAACTAAGAATGCAACGAACAAATAACACGACTAAGACGATGAGTGAGCAGAAAGGCAAAAGTATTGAACATATGTATAGTCTAACACATGTTCCTTGTATTCCAAGTTGTACTTGACTATATATATGAAACCACCACCTAATTGGGTGTGGGGTGTTTTCTAATTCTCTACATTGTATCAATCGCCCAAGTTCCCTTCCAATTCTTTCTTTTGCTCTAGCTCCTCCCTGCGCCGCCGAATCCCAGGACGCACGTCCACCCCTCCCGCTTGCGAGTTCCCGTGCACCCCCTCTGCTTCCACAAGCGCACGCGTCTCCTCCCCGCACCGCGCGGCTCCTCTACCCCAGCTTCCTGCGTGCGATGCGTGACGGCCTGCCCGCTCTCCTCGCGTCACGCGGCCCTTCTGCCCGGCTCCCCCACGCGGGTCTTCTCTCCCACGTGCGCTGCCTCCTCTGCTCCCGTGCGGCATCCCGTGCACCTCTATGGCCTCGCGTGTACTCCACGTCGACGCGCGTCCCACCTCCCTCACGCACGTGTAGTTGTGCGCCTCTGCTCCGCCCGCTTGCCTCTGCTTCTGCGTGCGTGTGCGCCTCTGCTCGCGCAACAATGGCTACAGAGTCCATGGCCTCCTCTGGCAAAGCTGAGCGTCCACACCCTTCGCCCACATGCTTCCATGCCACTGACTTATTGGGCCGAGGCATTTGCTACAACCACTTATGTGCTTAACTGGTGCCCCTCCTGTTCTATTGACAACAAAATCACATACCAGCTCCTTCATCGCTCTTTCCCTGAGTACTCCCACCTTCGCATGTTTGGTTGTCTGTTTTACCCGAACCTTAGTGCCACGACTCCCCACAAACTTGCACCTCGCTCCACGGCGTGCGTTTTCTAGGCTATCCATCTTCTCACGAGGGTTATTGGTGCCTTGACATCTCCGCGTGTGATTATATCTTGACATGTTGTGTTTGATGAATCGGTTTTTCCTTTTGCTGTTGCCACGTCTCTGGCATCTTCGCTTGACTTTCTTCTGTAGGATGTTACTTCGGTCGCTCCCTCTGTTACAGAGGTTGAGCAGCCGTTGCCCCAGGACCTCGACAATCCGACCATCGTCATGGCTGGCCCTGCTCGGCCCTCTGTCCAACCGGCAGTCCCTGCCGACCAGCCGGCTGGCCTGCTAGTATAGCTGGGGTCGGTCATCCTAAGTAGTCGCCTGGACCTGCCCCTGTTACACCTCCGGGCAGGACTGGCCAGTTTGACCCCACCAATCAGCGTTGGCCCCCGTCACCAGCACTAGCGTCGGCTCAGCGGCGTTTCAGCAGCAAGGTGTACCGGCATCTATTTTCTTCGCCTTCATCACTTGTGCCCGCTGGAGCTTAGCCGCCCACCAGCACGGTTGCGTCTACTTATTTGTCTGTTGGTGGTTTGACCAGTGCGCCGGCTGCCCCTTAGCCACCTGCGCTGCCACCCGGCAGGCCTCCGCTACTTCGGGTTGTGCACGGGCCTCAACGTTTGGATATTGCTGCACGGGCGGCTCAAGGCTGCTGCAGCCCCTGCACCTTCTCATCGGCCTATGTAGGGGCCTGCACCGGCCAATTCCCTGCTCCATCGCATGATGACACGCACATGGACAGGTGTTGTGCTGCCTGTCTGCAACATCGACATCTCTGTTGATGTCCGCTAATTATCGCAATGCGTTGGCTGATCCCAACCGGCGTGCTGCGATGGTGGATGAGTACTAGGCTCTTCTCAACAACGACACATGGCGTTTATTTCCTCGACCACCGGTTGCCAACATTGTGACAGGCAAGTGGCTCTTCAAGCACAAATATGATGCTGACGGGTCCCTTGCACACCACAAAGCTCGTTGGGTTTTTCGTGGCTTCTCCCAGCAGCATGGTGTCGACTATGATGAGACCTTAGTCCGGTCATCAAGCCTGCTACCATCCAAACTGTGCTTAGCATTGCTGCTTCACGCTCCTGGCCAATTCACCAGCTTAGCGTGAAGAATGTTTTCCTTCATGGTGACCTTAAGGAAACCGTCTACGCACACCAGCCTACACACATCTACCCCTGACTATGTCTGCCTATTGTAGAAATTACTGTATGGACTCAAGCAGGCTCGTCGCACATGGCATCAGCAGTTTGCCACCTACGTCTGCAAGCACGGTTTCACTGTGGCAAAGTCTGATGCTTCTCTCTTCATCTTCAAAGATGGAGTGTAGATAGCATACTTGCTACTGTACGTCGACCACATCATCCTCACAACATCCTCTCCGGATCTCCCGCGGTGCATCATCGCCCGTCTCATCTCTGAGTTCGCCATGACGAACCTTGGGGTTTCTTGGCATCTCCGTCACTCAGGTCCTCTGACGGCCACCACTTGTCCCAGCGACAGTATGCTGTCGACCTTCTTCAGCGGACCGGTATGGTTGAGTGTCACCCCACGGCAACATTGGTTGACTCCATGTCCAAGCTATCTACCACTGATGGAGTTCAAGTTGCCAACCCTTTAGAATACCGGAGTCTTGCTGGTGCCCTGTAGTATCTCACGCTGACCCGGCCGAACATTGCCTACACCATTCAGCAAGTCTGCCTCTTCATGCACGACCTGTGGGAGACGCATCTTGCTCTTATCAAGTGTATTCTGCACCTCGGCATTGGCAGTGTGTCATCCATCCATCACAACATACCCCGGACAACATACCCCGGACGACTAGGCTGGATGTCCAAACTCTAGGCAATCTACATCAGGCTATTGCGTCTTCCTCGACGATAACCTGGTTTCTTGGTTTTCAAAACGGCATACCACGGTATCTCGGACCAATGCGAAGGTACATTACCGAGCTGTTGCTACAGCAGTTGCTGAGTGCTGCTGGCTACGCCAGTTGCTTCAAGAGCTTCGTATCTTGATCCGTTCGGCGACCATTGTCTATTGCGACAATGTTAGTGCAATCTATATGGCTGCCAATTCAATTCATCATTGTCGCACGAAGTATATAGAGATTGACATCCACTTTGTTCATGAGAAGGTGGCTTTGGGGCAGTTCAGAGTACTCCAGCTCATCAGTTCGCGGACATTATGACTAAGAGACTAGGTCCCGTCTCTGCGTTCAATTCCCTCCCGACTACGGGCGGCTATTAGAGATATGTATTACTTGTATTCCAAGTTGTACTTAACTATATATATGAAAGCCACCCAATTGGGTGTCAGATGTTTCCTAATTCTCTACATAAAGAATGCAAATAAAGGATTGTGAGAAACACTAATCGAGAATCCATGAAGAGGTTCAAGAAAATCAAGGGCTGTCATGAACTACAACACTGAAAAGGATGATGATATTCCTAACTAAAAAAACAGTGATGTTACTAAGTGAGTAGTGAAGTTCCTTGCTGGGGCCATGGAAAAGCCATTCTTCCTCAAGCAGTAATCCACATAAAAAAAAAATGACGTGCGGTTCTCCTTTGTATCCGAGAAAACTAAAACCTTGATGGTCCCTGGCTGACTTAATGAGAGGGCGTAGTAAAACCTTGAGGGCCAGGAATCTCAACTGAAGGCTGTAACGACCAGTGTGTTACTATTGCTTATATCAAATAAACTATGAACTAGGAAAAATTTGGGGAGCTTTTAAGTTTACAACAACTCTGAAATATACCAAAAAAAACCTTGCTACATTTAAACTGAGATGATGAGTTAATTGGAAATGCTTGCATTGTAATATCAAAATCTATATGTTGCACTTTGTAGCCTGGTTGATAAAAATAAATGCGCAAAAATGATGGCTGGTTTACCAAGGGAAAAATAACTATATGGAACATATAAATTATGAGACAACGACTCACTCCAACTCCAGTGGAACGAAAAGTGAAGTTTCTGAAAACAACTTAAGAACCAAGCAAATAAAAAGGATGGTCAAAGATTCAGAAGTTATACATGAGGCTTAACAAAAAAGGGTTACTGTAGAAGCAAGTTAAAGTGGACCTTAAACTAATTAAAAAAAAATCAGCTTCTATGCCTCCAACTATATCTTCTTTATCAAAAAAAGAAAAAAAATCCAGGATGCCTTTCCAGTTTCCATGTCAACAATGGTAACAAAAGAGTTCGATACAGCAGGCTTTAGATACAGGAACAGAGGAAAGGGATGTAAGAAATAGAATCAAGCCTGTAAATACGCTAGATGACTAGAAGTCTTTTAATATCACCACAATATATATAAGGATGAAATCCAGATCAATAGAATCAAGTAATTGTGTTTGTTTAATCAGCCTAGCAGCTCTGATTTCTAAATCATACATACCCTTTGAGTTTAAGTTTTAAAATTGCTTTGACGTTTCTTTCCAAGGCAAGGTTGAGTTTTTCCTAAGCTCCACGCAAAAAATAGATAGGTAATTATAATTTATAATAAACACTCCTCAAACTTGATGAACATTAACCTGAATTAAAGTTAATGAGCTTTATTGGCTGAGGTTTGACAGCATATGTCTGTGATAATCTTTTTGCCTCTACTAACTGGCAACAAAAAGCTCTTCATAGGCAGAGAATATGTGCAGTTAACATATCGGTTATATTTGATAGACAATTCATATGAGTACAATAATTTATTGACATAGCTCACAAAGAAAGAGCATTATATACTATGTACATTAGTATTGTGGTTTGGTTGAGCATAAGACAAGATAGGGCACAACACAACCTTATTGTACTTGTGCTTCACCTTCGCAAACAAGAGGAGATAATTCAACTCCCAGAGCACACAAGTCCTTCTGTAGTGCCTCAGCACTCTTAAACTGCAACCCAACCATTCCTACACTAAGAGCTGCTTCAATGTTTATCATCCTGCAGTGGTAAAAATACAAACATGCTAAGGAATCCACATCACTGGTAAACAATGCTAGAGCTGCATCAACAAAAACTAACCTATCATCAATAAAAATGCAGCTTGCTGGATCAACATTGAGTTGATCTGCAGCTTGCAGATAAAACTCCGGCGAAGGTTTGCGCTTTCCTGAATGGTGTAGTGTAATGATCAATCCACAAAATAAAGGAAGCATTTTCATTAAGGAGCTATCATGGCCTAGCAAACATAACAATGAACTAGTACCCTAGTGCCCCGTTGCTCGACTGATAATGCCCAAACCGAAGTACAGAATTAGTTTATGCATGAACGATCAGCATTCCATCTCTAGATTCAAATTTTAAGATCAATTCTATGGTTAGTTCAAACTATTCAGATAGATAGAAGACAAAAAAACTCAGCCGGTGGGGGAAAGACATAAATTAGAATTTATTTATCTTGACTAGCAAGATGCCATAGAGAGCAACATCAACAAAGCTCCCAGTTCAGCTCTGTAGCGAGGAAAATCATAGGCTTGGAAGTCATGAAGCTACAGAATGATAGACAATTTTCTACCATCAATCTGGCTAGGTCAAACTTCCTTAAGTTTGAATAGATTTCTACCATCAGCTCTGTAGTCAGGAAGCTACAGATAATTACAGCAAATTGTCTTATATAATAACTGTCCCACATACTACCTCTGTCCCAAAAAGAATGTCATTCTAGAATTGGACTAAGTCAAACTTCCTTAAGTTTGAATAGATTTATAGAAAGTCAAACTTTCTTAAATTTGACCAGGTTTATAGAAAATATATTATCAACATTTATATCTCCAAATAGATTTATTATGAAAATATTGCATGATTCATCTAGTGATATTTCTTAAGCATCATAACTATTAGTACCTTTTTGTATATATTTAGTCAAACTTGAGATTCGTCGACTCCTCCAAAAACGAGAATAACATTCTTTTTGGGACACAGGGAGTATATTATAACTAATATATATTGTTGGTTAGGCCATGCTTGTGTGCTCAAGGCAATACAACTGGGTTGTCCACATTAAAAAAAAAGGTCCAATGGCCAAAACTTAAGTGTGTATATACAAGGTGATAAAGGAAGGGCGGGCCTGGTGCAAGCGGTAGAGTCTTACCGCCTGTGACCGGAAGGTCCCGGGTTCGAGTCGCGGTCTCCTCGCATTGCACAGGCGAGGGTAAGGCTTACCACTGACACCCTTCGCCAGACCTCTGATACCAGATTGTTATGTGGTTGCTAGGATTGAGAGGGAGAGAGCTGAGGGAGAGGCGGCGGAGGGCGGGCTACAGTACCCGCGCGCTGCAGTACTGGGCTATACAGCCAACCCAGGCCCAATAGGCCCCTGACGTACTCTAACATCTCTACACTGGGTACGCCCCCTTTTTTTTTATATACAAGGTGATAAAGATCAGCCATGCACATTCTGTTAATAGAACTAATCATCCATTCAGCTCTTGCTTATGATTATACTCGGTGCAAATCCAATATCCAGATTTAGTAGAAATGACCATTCCCCTTATTGGTAGAAAATGGCTGTTTTTGTATCATCTTCAAAGACAAGTGCTCCAAGAAATCACCCTCCCTCCTTTTAGATGTATATATTCTGTATGTACTTAGTCATTAGTGTAGGGTGCTATCTGCACTTTGTACAACTTCATATCCAGCACTTTGGGCATGGCAATAGATCTAAGTTGCATTTCTAACATGGTAACACAGGTCTAAGTTGGGATCGATCCTCACCTGGCCACTGCCGTCACTGCCAGTCGGAGAGTCGATGGCGAGCTTCCACCAGCGAGCAACTCCACTTTTCACCCTCCGCTCCCCGCTCCCTTCGCTTAGGTGGCCATTGCCTCCGCAGCGCGTGCGAGCCTGCCCGTGGTCGTGGCCTCCATCAGCCACACGAGCTCCGCCCGCAGCTGCCACATCTGCTGGCTGTGCACACCCTGCCCACGGCAGACGCCTTCGCCGACTGTGCGAGGCCTGCCCGTGCCAGCCGCGCATCTCCCACCCGCACCCACCAGCCACCTCCACCGGCCGCACGCTGCACGCCTATGGCAGCCACCTCCACCCTCCTTCCAACAAGCGCCTACATGGCCTGGTCTTGTGCAGCCGAGTTCAGAGAGAAAGAACAACAACAACAACAACAACAACAAAGCCTTGAAGTCCCAAATAAGTTCGGGTAGGCTACAGTTGAAACCCAGCAAAAGCCATCAAGGTTCAGGCACGTGAATAGCCGTTTTCCAAGCACTCCTATCTAAGGCTAAGTCTTTGTAAGAAAATGGCTTCCATGGTTGACCTTCCGGGCATGAAACCAAATTGGTTCAAAGAGACCCGCGTTATTGCTCTCAAGCGATGCTCGATAACTCTCTCCCATAGCTTTATAGTATGGCTCATCAACTTAATTCCCCGGTAATTAGTACAACTTTGAATATCCCCTTTATTCTTGTAGATCGGTACCAATATACTTCTCCTCCACTCGTCAGGCATCTTATTCGATCGAAAAATATGGTTGAACAGCTTGGTTAGCCATACTATAGCTATGTCCCCGAGGCATCTCCACACCTCGATTGGGATACCATCCGGTCCCATCGCCTTACCTCCTTTCATCCTTTTCAATGCCTCTTTGACCTCAGATTCTTGGATTCAAAGCGCCTATTGGTGTCGTCAAAAGAGTCATCCAACTGAAAGGTTGTGTCCGTATTCTCATCATTGAACAATTTGTGAAAATACTCTTGCCATCGATGTCGGATCTCATCCTCCTTCACCAAGAGATGTTCCATTTCATCCTTAATGCACTTAACTTGGTTGAAGTCCCTTCTCTTTCTCTCACGAACCCTAGCCATCATATAAATGTCCTTCTCTTTTTCCTTCGTACTCAAATGTTGGTAAAGATCCTCGTACACTCCACCCTTTGCCACACTTACAGCTCGCTTTGCAATCTTGTTTGTCACCTTGTACTTCTCTATGTTGTCCACACTCCTGTCATGGTACAAGCGTCTATAGCATTCTTTCTTCTTCTTAATAGCCCTTTAGACTTCCTCGTTCCACCACCAACTATCTTTAGCCTCGCCTCCACTTTCTTTGGTTATTCCACACACTCTGAGGCTACCTTCCGAATGTTGGTTGCCATCTTCTCCCACATGTTGTTTATGTCCTCTTCTTCCTTCCAAGAGCCCTCTTTGATAACCTTTTCCCTGAATACCTCTGATGTCTCCCCTTTCAGTTTCCACCACTTTGTTCTTTCAATCTTAGCGTGTTTATCCATACGGGCACGCACCTGAAAACGAAAGTCTGCCGCCAAAAGCTTATGTTGAGAAACAACACACTCCCCTAGTATACCCTTGCAACCCAAGCATGATCGTTTGTCCTTTCTTCTTGCGAGGATAAAGTCAATCTGGCTAGAGCGTTGTCCGCTACTGAAGGTCACTAGATGAGATTCTCTCTTTCTAAAGAAAGTGTTGGCTATCATCAGGTCAAAAGCTACCGCTAAGTCCAGAACTTCCTCCACCTCCTGATTCCTACTACTATACCCAAAACCTCCATGAACTGCCTCGAAACCTGTGCTTGTAGTACCTACATGCCCATTAAGATCTTCTCCTATAAAAAGCTTCTCACTACTAGGTACAGCTCTAATCAAACCATCTAAGTCTTTCCAGAACTGTCTCTTAACACTCTCGTCAAGGCCTACTTTGGGGGCATACGCACTAATTACGTTCAAGACCATATCACCAACGACAAGATTAACTAAGATAATCCTATCTCCTTGCCTTCTCACTCCCACCACACCATTCTTGAGGCTCTTATCAATCAAAACTCCTACTCCATTTCTATTCGCGACTGTCTCTATGTACCCAAGCTTGAAACCTGTATTGTCCACCTCCTTCATCTTCTGACCCTTCCATTTAGTCTCCATGGCTTCCCTTGGGAAATCCTGTGCCCCTCCTTTTCCTCGGTGGCTGGTTATTTTCAATGGCACCAATTGGGGTGTCACGCCGGTCGCCACCACGCAGTGAAGAAGGCGTCATCTCCAGAATACGTATTCATGTTATAGTTTAAGTTGTAATGCGAGTCTATGACGGGCGGGCCCCGCTAGCCAGGGAAGGCTATGTAATAAGCGAACTCCTGTACGGTTGGGAACTATCCTAATTCAGACAATAGAACTCGACAGAAAAGGGCAAGCAGCCCTCTGCTGTTCTCTGATCCGCGATCTCACTGTTTCCTCACGTCGACGGCCATCACCGGCGGCCAAGGGGTGTAACAAATGGTATCATAGACGGCATATCCTCGGCGTGGGTGACGAGCAACCACTCTACACCAGCGCTAGTTACCGGCGGCGGCGGATTTCGCGATTCGGCACAGCTTCTTCCTCTGCTCCGGCCAGATCCTCGCTTTTCATGGCCAACCCTCTTGATTTCTTCCACTTTGACTTGGGATCGTCATCCCTGACGGCTAGTAGATCTCTGTTCACCATCCCTAGCGGTGGTGTTCGTGAGGTCCCATAGGTCCGTGCCGAGGTTGATCCAGTCGATGGCAAGACTCGTGAGTTGTTCCGCCCGGTGAGCTTTGCCTCTGCTCCGACGCTCCGCACACCAGCTTGAAGGACCGGATCCGGATCTGCAACGACTTGCGCAACTGCGAGACGACATCATCTGATACTCGGATTCGGCAGTGAGAACCCCGGTGAGCATCCATTTTCGTGCTCCCTATTTCCTGTCTAGCGCATAATCGGTGAAAGTGAGGGTTGCGGGGCGTGTTCCCGTGTAAAATTCCGTAACTTTCTTTAACTGATTGTGGCGCGGTGGTGTTGGCAAGGAAGTGTCCTACTCGGGTTGCAGAGCTCTGTCTCCGTGTAAAATTCCTTGGTAGAGCCTCACTTCCAGGTGAAGTCGGCGAATTTGGGGGTGTAGCAGAACATAAGGGAGGTGTATACCAAACCTGTTGCTTCACCCAATCTTCAGTCTTTCTGCATCACATAGGCAATTGGCAACAACGGCTCCCCCTAAGCCTTCTGCGCAGACGACCTTCATACTTGACGCAATGTCGAAGAGTGCTGATGAGAACAGATGGGACCAGGTAATGGAAAATTTCGATCTTCTGTTTGCCCGTGTGAATGACATTGGTTCGATCCAGCAAGAG